TTTTTTTAATGATGGGGACATGGGGACATTGAATTATTAGTTAAATTTCGATTGGTAAGAAATTGGTATTCTATGTTTATTGATTGTTGATCTATTTTTTTAATGATGGGGACATGGGGACATAGACTTATTGATTAAATTTTGGTAGCTAATAAATTCGTTTTCTGTGTTTATGGATTATTTATATGTTTTTTGATGATCAAGACATTGGAACATTTAATTATGCAATAAATTTGAACAAGTGATAAATGGATTTTTTATGTTTATTTATTTTTCATTCTTTTTTTTTTCAATGATCGGCAGATAGGAACGTCAAATCATTCAATAAATTGAGATTGTTGATAAATATTGTTTCCTATGCTTAATGAGTATTCATATATTGTTATGAGGCTTAGGAATTGCAAGATAAAATGGTTTGTTAGATATTAAGAAGTTGTAGTACTTTTTTAGTCAATTTATTTAATATATCGTTCATTCATTTCGGGTTTTAAAGACAGACTTTTTTGTCGAATTTTCTTCCGAAGTCGATTTGCTATAGTAGAGATTCTATCGAAGAAAAGTAGATGTGGTGTGGCGCGATATTAAGAATCACTAAAATTTAGGTAACTCGATTATTTTTCGAATTTTTTTGAATGATTAATGTCTCAGTTGAAGCGCTTCTCGAGATACATGTAGGAGAATGGATGGATAGTGTTAAGTAGCATCATTAGTATTTTTACAGGAATGATAGCATAGTTTTGGTTGAAGCCGCGGGTCAATACGAAGAGTATCCCACTTGTATTTTGTCTCATGTAATTTTCGTTTGATAAAGTTTCTATAAGTAAGGAACTATTAAAGTAAATATTATTTCTTTTTAATATAAGATCTTAAACCATATTTATTATGATTGTTTGAGAAAGACATACCCTTTTTGGATTATTCAGGATATATTATAATGTTTAATTGTAGGCAAGTTGAGGTCTCGGTATACAGAGTTTATCAGTTGTTTAATGATGTAAAGTATAGTAAGTTTTAAATTTTTATCAAGCAAAGATAATTTTCCAATAAATAGTGTTACAGAACGGAACATAATTGTCCAAGTTTTTACTTTATTCTTTCATTTGTTCATTATGACGACAAAATTGCATTTTTGAGAGCTCATCATGTAATAATAATTTCAATTATAATTTTTATTCCAAGAAAAACAAAGAAATTATTTTAATTGTGTTTTTATTATATTTTGCTGTGCTAAATTTATATTACTTGTTTAAAAACAAATTCTGTCTTGAATATGGCATGAAATGATTGTTATCAAACAAAAAGGAAAGGTGTGATACTAGTATCAAAAAGAAAGATTTCATCTTGGATATAATTATTGAAGCGACGATAGAAGCGTTTCTATGTATTATGTAACTACATAGGAAATTATATTTTCTTAATTTTTGTGGGATTTGAAATGTGAAGAGGGTATATATGATTTGCGCACAAAGTATAATTTTGACTACCATTAGGTAAGTTCTTGTGAAGATATACATTAATCAGACATACAGAATGATGCTAATTTGTAATATTTTATAACATATTACTGTTTAATGTATAGCAGTTTTTAGAACTATAAGAAGAATTATAACAGGACCTTTTTTTTATAATGAAATATATTGATAATTGGTTATCTTATAACTGGTACTGAATAAGTGTAAATATGTGATTTTTTTACATTAGAATTATGTGTCAATGTGAGAATGTGCATTACCATTGATAAGTCATAATAGTATAATGGATAATATAAAAGAATCATTGAATCATGAAAGTATATTTATAAAAAAAAATAAAATGTGCTTCAAAAAGTTCTCTCGAAAATATATAGCTTTGAACTTCGATAATAAAAATTTTTTGAGGAAGAATCGAACTTCCTAATTTACTCAGAAGTGCAAATATTCATAATAAAAAGTTAATTATCACATGCGTAGTTGATATAGTTAATATGAAAGCCGATATTAACATTTACGGAATGCACAGATAGATTAAACGGATTTACTAGTGTGCTAGTTCCAATCATTCATAATATATTTTTTCCGAAACAATCAATCAACACAATGTAAGACACATTTAGAATGTTAGTAAATAAATGTAAATTCTCTTTTCAGTTGAATGAAAGAGAACTACAGAAACAATATAATAATTAATTAATTACGACTCAGAGATCGATAACACGATATAATGATACAAGTTATTTTTTAATTTATTCTTAATTTTTTATATTACTATAGAATATTGAAATAAACAAAATAATGTTTTTGATGCATATTATAGATTATATAATTGATGAGAATCGCGTGACATTTTGAAAATTTCATTTTTTAATGAATGTGGATGTGTTTTTGTTTATTGTTTTGTATTATTTCGTTTTGCTTTGACGGTTTTGGTTGAGGATTTTCGTCGTTTATATTTTTGAGAATTATGGGGCACGAGTATTTCATTATGTTCAATATTAGATGTCGTTGGTTCCCAATTATAATTTTCTAAATTTTTAACTAGATGAAATATTTAGAATAACTTATGACTAGACAATATCCAATGCATACGTCGGAGTAGAAATTAAAATTCTACTCCGACATATATATTAATATTGTTATATTAGTATTAAAAAGTAACCAGATGACCTATTCTATTATTTGCTTTCAAAATTTGAAAATGATCTTAAGTTGCTATTTTACCTAAAAAAGATATTGTATAACCTTGATCATACAAACCATATACATAAAATCGAGGTTAAGAAAAGTAGTTATCTTTTGTATTTTTCACGATTTTTCAAAGCGTCATAACTGGTAAACCTCAAACTTTCGTCATTAATAAAGTACTGGAACAAAAAAAAATTGGACACTTCGCAAGAAAAAATGAACTGTATTTTATTATTTGTTTCAAACTATGTTGTTTCTCCTATAAAATTGCTTCTTCAAACAACACGATTCATTGTCAAATACTATTGAATGCTTTAAGGTGATTACATTTTGATTACTGATTACTCGAAGCATTTTTGGAACGTCACATTATTTACTTTCTTTTTATTGGAATATCTGACGTTAGAATGTTGATAAAGCAAGACTTTCTTTTATTTTCAATGTGAAATTTTGTGTATTTAAGTTTTTAAAAGCCACTTAGCATCGTCGTATATCACTAAACATATCTAACGAAAAATTGTGTTGCAATAGAATTCAAAACCTAGTTAAGAATTTTTTTCTCCTAATGTTTCTATTTTTTTTTAATGTTGCATGCATGATGACTTGTGTTGTTTCCAAGACTAACAAGTTGATAAAAATGAAAGGAATTTCTTAAAATATCGATTAGTCTCAAGAAATTTCTTTTATGTAATTAATTTCGTATTCTTGTTGTAATGGTTAACCTGCTTCTTTCATAGTATAATATTCTATAATTTCAGTATTTCTCCTTATGTTGTACTTTCATATGTGTTTGAAAAAGTTTCGGTCAATAATTTAGGAATATTTCTAAAAAATCTTACAAAACTCCAAGTATGAAAGAAAAGGTAATTACGGTTAAAGTGAAAAGAAATTTTACAATTTTCTTCTTATATTAAAGTTGATTTTTCGTAATAATTTAAAATTGAGTTTACCATTGCATGTATTGAAATGTTGTTTATCTATCACATAAGTATTAACTTGGTCATTATGCAAAGAATAAATTTGATTTGTTGTCGTATTATATTCGATTTGGTTAAATTGTGAATAAGTATGTTCTACTTGACTATTTGACGTTCTTTTATCCATAAAATTAATTGAACTTGATGGTGGTGATGTATAATTGAGTGAAGGTGCTATTTTTTTTGCAATATTTAAAGTAGAATTACAAGCTTGTTCTGAATTAATTGTGTTACTATTCAATTCTACATTATCTGATACAAAAATTTCATGGCTAAAAAATTATAACATTCATTTAAAAAAAAACATATACTGTCAAGTATTTGAACACCATTCTTTGTACCATCACTTTCTTTAAATGCCATCTCTACAAAATGTGAATTATGTTTTGATATGCAACTATTAAATATTAACATACCATTTCCAGTAGAAGCAACAGTAGTTTGTGTACATGTAGATGAAATTTTGTTACTATTCAAACAGACAATATTATTTAATTCAGTTGTTGAACAAGTATTATTATTTATGTTTAATGTATTGGTGATTGCATTTGAATTATCTAAAGCATCAAGTAAATTATATTGTTTATAATAATTATGATTATTAATATATATATACCGGGTGTGTCAGAAGTTTTGCGACATTTAGTATTTTTCAAATATCTCAGCAGAGATCAATCGTATAATCTTAATTTTTTTAAAAAAAAGATGCGTCGTGAAAAGCTCTACAAAAACTGTAAGAACAAATCCCTATTGACTTGTTCCGATGGTGTCTCCTATATTCAAAATGCATAGGTTGGATGATGGTCCTATGTCCCACGGTATTAAATATTTGGAAGACTATTTTTGTTTCGCAATAGGAACTTACTTATACAGATTTTGTAGAGCTTTCGACGGCGCATCATTGGAAAAAAAGACCAAGACGTTATCATTTTCCCAAGTCGAGATATTCGCAAAATAAAAAACAAGTCTCTCAAATATTGTTGTTATACTAATTACGGTGGGACATAACATCGTCATGTGACCTGTTCACTTTGAGTATTGGAGACACTATTTGAGGAAGTCAATAGGGATTTGTTCTTATAGTTTTTGTAGAGTTTTTCACGGCGCACCTTTTGAAGAAAAAGTCAAGGTGTTGTCATTTACTCAAGGTGAAATATTTGCTGAACAAAAATAGTCTTCCAAATACTTAATACCGTGGGACATAGGACCATCATCTGATCTATGCATTTTGAATATAGAAGACACCATCAGAACAAGTCAATAGGGATTTGTTACAATTTTTGTAGAGTTTTTCACGACGCATCTTTTAAAAAAAGAATTAAGATTATACGATTGATCTCTGCTAAGATATTTGAAAAATACTAAATGTCGCAAAACTTCTGATACACCCGGTATATATATAAGAGCAATACTTATAGATAATATTGTACCTATATTTTCACACAATGATATGTTAGAAAATTGATTAATGTTGGTATTGGCATGTAATTGTGTATATAATTGATTTGAAAAATTAGGTAATCGAAAAGCATTATGATTAGACACGTTTTCATTCGTTACAACAGATGTTTTCTCTTTTAAAAAATGAATATACATTATATCAAAAAAATAATTCTTTCTTTATAAATACGCTGTGTTTCATGATTTGGCGATTGATTGAAAATCATGTTATTATTTAATAAATCATTACTTCTATTATTCGAATTATTGATATTATTTGATGTCGCTGTAACTATATAAAATGAACATCATATAGATATGCGATGTAATATAAATATTAATTCAATAATGTAAAATGTTTAAGTATATACATACTATCGAAATTACGATCTGGATAATTTTTTTTTAAATTTTCATGCAATAGTTTATGTTCAGGAAGTAATAACATTTCTATCCCATTTGTAGTTAATATTTGTTTGTCTTTAATACTACTATTACATAATATTACCATGTAATTTGCCAAATCCATTTTAATTTCAGTCAATAATTGATTGATCATATTCCGTTTAATTGGATCATTTAATATGTTATCAGATGGAAATGATTTCATATGAACTATACCACGCGAAGTAGTATTTATATATGCTAATCAATTAAATCAATACGTAGAAAATTGATACAAAATTATTTTAATGTAAGAATTTACATATTTCATAGAATATACAAAGTATTACGAGCAATATTTCTCTACTTACGTCCTTGTCGTATTAACTGATAATTTATTAATTCATCAATGACAGTACTGACCAAGTCGCTAGGAAAATGACGAAGTAAACCCATAGATCCTGTTAACTCTCGTTTGAGAAAAAAAAGTTGAGGCATTTGAATAATACGTTGACGAATTGTTATTATTGTTGAATGAACTAAATGATTTTAGTTTGAATAAAATAAATATTAATAAAATTTATTTTTACTAGAAATCGAATTAAGTTTGATTTTGTTCATATTTTGACGAACTGGTTCAGTATTATATAATGCAAATAACATCTTTATCAGATGACTGCATAGAAGTTGACCGGCAATATGACAACTTGATGATTGAATTTCCAATATAATATTTGAACATGAATATTTACGTTCAATCAAAGTTGTTGCCTTTCGAATGAATATAAGACTAGTATCATCAAAATGAAGTTGGTTTTGAGCTCGAAGAATTCTAGGATTATAAGCAACGAGTAAGTATATACTCTTGAAATATAATATTTAATCTAATCTAATGACGATAACAAATATGATAATTGAACATTGAATTATTTTTTATAGTTGTTCACGATCAGAGATTCATAATAATACAATTGTTCTTTAGCTCAAGTTGAAAATTTAGAATTTCATTGGATTATCGACTCATATACAACGAAGTTTTGTTCTAGGAAACTATTTTATATAACAAGAGATTTTCGAAATATTATATTTTTTTTAAAGTACAGAACGGTCTGAAATATAGAAGTACAACTAGTCACTTGTCACGGAATTTCAACAAGTTTGGAGTTTTTCATTAGAGAAAATTTTGGAGTTTAACATTTAAAATTTTCATAATACAAAATTCTTTTTTTTTCTAATCCATTTGTAATACAAAAACAAATTTCCTATTCCCTATCATTCATAAACTGAAAGAAAAATAGTGATATAATTCGTGTGCGCTTTGTAAATAAAATATAGTTTTAAAATATTTCAAACTATTTTTTTCAACGATGTTAATATATAAATCTCTTTTTAGTCATATTTCATACGAAAGTTATAGTTTCTATTATTATTCTATTGAGTTTCTCATAGATAATAGTATGTTCAATAATTTGTCAATAGTACATCTTCAACCGTCAACATAGATTTTTTTTCTTTGTCTAACTTGTGCCTTGTGAGCTTTAAGATTGAGTAGTTGTTATTTTGTAAATGGTTTTTTTTATTATAACAAATAGTAATGAACTCTAAAGAAGCATCTTTCAATATCAATTTTATTAACTAATAATATTGCGATCAAATGACATGAAGTTATTTCTACTAATAGAAAATATATATAATAGTATTTATGAAAATCAATTCCACTCAAATACAAAATTTTATAAAAGTAATTTTTACATTATTTTAACTGAAAGATTACATCAGAAATGCTAGTCTTCAAATTTGTTCAAGTTCTCTAACATTATTGCTATTCTAAAAAATTTTATAATATCTTCAAATATTAAGGAATTTTAAGAGTTTTATGTTAATATTATAGTGTGTTAAATCTATTTAAAAATGACTAAAAAAATAATGTTTACGATTTTAATGTTGAATATTTCTAATATATAATAAATGCAGTTCATCAAATCTCAGTCAACACATACATCATCAAGTATAATAAAAGTGATATAAAATTGATCATCAGAAGTAGACTTTTGTTGCATATGAAATTTTAAAAAAAAATATTTAACTTACTGCAATATTTCGATAGTTATTCTTAATATTTCGGCAATGGCAGCAAGTTTACATAAAATTTCTGCTGCTTTACCCATTCTTGATCCAAAATTAACGTCGTTTGATTTATCAAATTGAGATAATTCTTGATATTGGCGTACTTTATTGAAAAATTTTTTTGTACCATTTCGAGATAAAATAAATTCACGCTTTCCTAGTAAACGTGAAATTATTAATATTTGTGATAAACTTGGAAGATTTTTGTGAATTTTATTCGATTTTTCAACTTCATAATCATTATCACTAATGTCATCTTCGTTTTCACTTTTATCATTGTCACTATCATCATAATCAATTGATTGAGAAAAATTTGCAGATCCGTCTGTTCTTTTCGGCATGGCATAATGTATAAACCTAAATGATTTTTATAGATTATTGATGAAAATTAAAGATTTATTCGATTAAGATTATAATAATAATTTTCTTCTCAAAAAATATCTTACGTCTGTCTCCCTTAACGAAAATCAACTTTCATTGAATAATGTTATTAAACAGTATGAGACTATTGATATTCAATACATATGGACGTATGACATTTTCAAAAATAAGTAATCTCTTAAATGGTTCCAACGATTATGTTCGGTTTCAGCTTTTTAACAAAAAATATGCGTATACAAATCACTCAATATCAATAACTTTATATAATAATCATTTTACAATAGAATCTATTAATAAACTGTAAATTTGTTATAAACATATCCATGCGTTATTTATTTACAAGAAAAATGTTGCGCAACAATTTATACTGGAAAAAATTTATATAATAACCTTTGATAATACCTCAGTCTCCGAAGTATTATACACTGTGTTACATTTTTTGCAATAATTTTCATACATCTTTGCAATGTGTATAAGAAAACTCATCAATTAGGTAATTCACCTATATTAAGTATATTGGTCATACCAGACGAACAACAATTTCATTTTTTAAATTATTATAGACTTTACAATACATTCGGCTGGATCTATTTTACAACGTTTGATCGGCATCAAACAAAAAAAAATTTAAATTCTCTTGAATAATTTTTGTCTTTCTTCAACAAATTTACTTCAATGTCATAATTTACTTCTAGGTCTACACAATACATGATATTACTGTTTACAAACAAAATTATTTTTATCTTTAAGATTTTATTTGATAAAATCCTTTAATTTAAAAACATATCCCAAAGAAGACCTAATAAATTCATATCTAGATTTGCCATGTTTTTTTCCAATTTTTCATTATTAAATAGAAATTATAACTTTAAATGAACCTATTATTCAACAAAAAAAAATATCAGAATTATTCCATTTCTTGACCACAGTATATAAAACTGTGATCAATTAAGATTCATCTCAAGCAAAAATAAACGCAATAGTATCTTCAATTATTCTTTGCATGATAAGCAAAATTCAATTTTTACTAACTTAAACTTTTATGTTTTACTCGAGCAACAAGTTGAAAAATAAATTTGTTAAAAAAAAAAAGATATAGAATTTATCGAAACCTATCTGTGATAAAGTTCTGTTCAATCATTAATTCTTTTAGTAAATATACCAATATCTTAGACTTCGTAAATAAATTAAAAGTTGGTTGTTTGTGATTAAAGTAAGTAAAAAATGATAAGCTCAATTTTTTTTAAAAATTTTTCATAGTTTGGGTAGACAGGAAAAAGAAACCTTATACTTAATACTAAATCAAATTATATAAAGCTACGCTTAACATCATTTTTGACAGTTTCGTACGGAAATCATACCAATGATAATATTATGTTCGATACGTAAATAAACTAAGAACGAAAAAATAATACATTTTAAGAGTTGCTAAGACATTAAAAAACTTGAAGAAATTTAAACTACATAAAAGTTAAGTTTTGAGTGAAATATTAATAACTTCAAACATTCTTATAAAATTTCAATGCCACTGAAATGTTTTTTACTGAAAATGGTTCTTTTTCCGACATACTCTTTGGCATCCATAGGTACGAATAAAATCAAGGAGAAAGAAAACTAGATATTATTCATGAAACATATAGATTGCAAAAAAGTTCGAGTGTTTTTTTTACTGAATTTTTTTAGAATTTCTTCTATCAGTAATCTATATTATTATCGATTGGTATTAATTCATTTCTTATCTTAAAATGAACTTATGATTTTAAGATTTTAATAATTCAAACGAACATACAATTAAATATATGTATATATATAATAACTAACCGTTCTGAAAAGCCATCACTTTGATGACCTTGAGAATAATAATGTATTAAACGGTGCCACAAACGACCTGTTGTTGCTCCAACAAAAGATAGATGTGAAGCAATTTCTAAATGGTATGTCATTGTATCTTTGCTTGTTGGAATGCTACCATAAAATTTACATCCAGAAATTCGATCACTTGCACTAACTTCAGACAATGGTGAATAAAAACCCATTTCTAATAAAGGCTTTTCAGCTTCATCTGTGACAACGAATACGTTAGATTTTGCTAACTTAGCAGATAGAGAAGTTGTTGTAAAATCATCGACTATTCCCGCTTCATCGTCTGATATTCCCAAGGCTTTAATTGTATTAATAATACTAGTTTTTATTGGTGCTATAATTTTTGATTTTCCACCACCTTTAAAAAACAATTTTGTTCATGTTTTTTTTTTTTAATATTATGTACCTGATGGTCCAATCAATAATAAAAATATATTAAGATTACTGACGTGGTTTGTTATTCTCACAACTGAATCGCCAGAAAAATGACCAACACATGTAAATAGTGATAAAAGTAAACCTGCCGGATCAGTATCATTTAATGATTTAAAACTATTCAACACATCAAGCAATAATTGAAACGAACTATCAAAAATATTTTCAACATTAATGCGAATATCACGTGCATCGGATAAATTTCGTTGCCATGTACAGTTGGCCGAATATTCTTGATTTTTGTTGATTTTAGATGACATCATATATTATTCTATCATGTAGAATAGAATCATATTGCAATAAATATCACCAAATTAATTATGAAAGTATTCGTAGATACAGTAAGAAAAGGAGCGAAAATCAAATACCGTGAAAAATGATCACATTAATATAGCAATACCCAGTTAAATTATAGAAAAATGGCTGAGTTTTAAATTATAATTTAGGCCGATGAAATAAAAATTTTTTTTTTCAAATAGAATCACTCTCAAAATGAATTATTTTAAGTTTTTCTATTACTGCAATGGCTTGAGGTTAAAAGAGAATTCAACTTGAGCTAGATAATATGAATAATAAATAATTTTTATTTCGGTATATTCGATTTGAATGAAAAAATTAAAAAAGAAAAAGAAATAAAAAAGCTAGTCAATTTTCTTCCAAAGTAAAGACGTATTATCACAACTGGCATCTTTACAACGATGAGTATATGTTAGATTTTTTGTATTTATTAATATTGCTGTCGTGTTTCGTTTATGATGTGTCCCTTTTTGATCACAATACCGATATTCTCCTCCAATGTTGAAAAATATCATGTCTTCATTGTAGGTACCACGCACAGACGAACGAATATAACCTTCATGAGTTTTATCTCGTTTTATAAGTTTTTCTACAAATGGTATTAATTGTTGTACTTGTTGGTCTTGTTCATTTTCAATTTCTTTTATTCTTAGTGGAATATTAGATTGATCAGAATATGAATTAAATCTAGACTTAGCACCGACTGAATAAAAAGAATTAAAATGTGTGTTGAGCTTATTCAAGTTAATATGACTTTTATGAATGACTTCAGACGAATTAATTAAATTCATGCTAGTGCAAAAAAATTGATTGTTCTTTATATAAATTATTGGTATGTTTATGTCCTCAACATTCGTTATAATTGATTTTCTAATAATATCTGTATATGATACTTCAATGTTATTCTTAAATGGAAAATGACTGCATTGAACAAGTGGATTGAGTTGTCCTTTTTTAACACAATCGAATAATCTAAATTGTTGGTATTTCGAATAAACGTTAGTATCGACTGCAAAACTCATTTGGTTCAATTTATTTGATACTAATAAATAAGCAATATCTGCAACGCAGACTGAACCGCAATATAATGCACACTTGGTACAATGAGTACGTAATATATTTACATAAGGTGTTAATAAAAAAATTAATTCTGTCGTAGTATACTTTTGTCGATTAAAATTAATGTTAAATGTTGAGCATCTATGTTCAGCTATCGAATATAACATAAAATGTATAAAAACCTTTATAAACAATCCAAATGTAATATTATTTTCAAATAGAATAGATGGATTTGCATCAATGAAATGGTATGATATTTTTTCTGAACTGGATCTAGAAATACAGAATAGGCTACATTCGCATATTAATATTATATAACATTTAATTTAATTTCACATTACCACTCAGTAACTCACTAGTACTGCTGCGCAATAGAATTCTATAATTTGTCATTTATTTATTTAAAATATGTTAATCCAATGTCTAGAAGAAAACTTCAAGAAAATGTATATCTTAATTTTAAAAATTCAGTATCACCCTAAAAACAACATTAGTTTTTCTATTCGTATTTTTTAATATGTTCGTTTCGTGCAGAAATCGTGTTAATATATATATTTTTTAATTACCTTCTTACATACGCTCTATACTGTAATAGTGAAATGAAAGTTTTTTCTTTGATCTTAGTGAAATGTAGCGTTTTAGAACTGAAATCTATCAACTATGTAATAATATGTCACAAAATACTTTCTCAATAAAATCTGTATTCATCTATAAAGTAAAAATCAAATGAATAATGGCATTCAATATTACAACATCTAATTCAAAATACAAATGCATAAATTTTGAGCAGGGGTGGGTGAAAAAAAAAGGTACCCCTTGCTTTGAGAATTTTGACTCAGATTTCCTCTTAATATAGAGAGATTGCTGAAACAATTGCTCCGATTTTTGTATACCCCTTTTGCTATGATCACTTCGCGCCGTCCCTGATCATGAGAGTTTTTTGAAAACGCATTCAACTCTTCATAGAGTATGTTCAAGATATCGTACAATATTATATTTGATATAATCGTTTGTATTTGATAATAATGTAAATCAATAGAAATTATTTGTAGTTATAAAACATCGAAGGTCAAAACATCCCATATTTTAGAAAATAGCATGAAGATAATATAAAATATTTTTTATTCAAAAACTAGTTTTTTTTTATTGGTCTTACTATTTCAAGGGAATTCTGGAAGGAATTTGTTTTCTATTCATTAAAAACTATTAATATGCATCATACTAAGCATTGAACACTTTTGTTTTGTTCTTATCAAGATGGATAAAATTGAAGTTCTAAAAAATTTAAACTTTCATTCATACAATAGAAATCATAGAAAATATAAAATAAATATTTTAAACTCCACATGTAATAAATACTACTATTTAAAAGAATTAGTCTTTAGAAAAAAAATTCAAACTGGATAAGGCGACCTATGCTTGATGCATGTCTTTGTCAATTGATTGTTTCAAAGGATATTCTATTTATTCGAAATTTTTATGAGCGAACGCTTAAAAATTAAATGTCCTATCTTTTTATAAATCTTTTTTGAACTGAGATGCATAGAGTCATTCTCCTATAATATATATTAAATTCATTGATAAGTTAGAACATTTATTGAGCAGATTTATATAATGAAATGAAAAAAAAAACGAACAGAATAGATATTCGTTCAATTTGGTTGGAGTTAACAGAATCCATGTAAGAGACTGAACGAAAATAAAAATGTCAAGTCAATTTTCATTCGATTCAACCATATCAGTATTTAACTTAATTTTGATTAGAAAGTCATAAGTCAAATCTAATCATATCATTTGATAATTTAAATTTGTTTCACTTTTCTGGCATTTACATGGACTAATTCAAATACTATAATAATGTTGTACTGATTTATTTTTAAATATTTCTCTATTTTCTTTTTTTTTTGATTATTATACTAAAACTCTATTATTTATCTGACTAAATAACTATGCTGAAATGAAATTAGAACAAAGATATCGAACTAATTTATTGAAGTAATAATTTTTAGCTTACGATTCTAGTACAAGAAATTGTTCTAATACATCACTAAGATAGTTCTTCCCTTCATGAATGATATTTTGTTGACACTTTAATAGATTGTAAATAATTTTAAGACAACAACTTGGCCCGATACTATGATTTTGAATTTCAGGATTATTATTGATGTAATATTCGAAATCGATATATGCTTTAATTTTATTTGTTGGCAGAATCAATTCATACAGATAACGTTGATTCACAGGAATATTACGATATAACATTATTAATTCATCCATAGTAAAATAACAGAATTCTCGACTATTATTATCGTTTTCAAAACTTATACATACATGACTATTTATCGTATTATCATTTGATAATATATGTATTAAATCAAGTATTCGATGAGTAATGACTTTATTTGAAAAAATACGCTTTATTATATTTTTTATATATGTCATAACGAAACGTAAATTCAATTAAAATACAAAATAATATTTAGGACGCGCAAAAATATGTTCCATTAATAATTTAACAAGGTATGTAACTAAAATGAAGTAATATTATATTTAAGAGAGGGTCATTATAAAAAAATATAAATTGGCAAAATAATTAGAAATATTCGTCTTTTTTTAATCAAACTTCTATTTAAAAATTATCGGAATGAAATGTCTTAAGAAAATAAAATTATGATTTTCTAAATAGAATAAAAATACTTCGAAAGCCGAAATTCAATTCTGAAAATATACTCACATGTATAACAAAAAAAGAACTGATCTTCTGAACAAAATAAAATTTTTATATACATTTGCAATTTTTTTTTAAAATTATTGAAATTTTATTCGAGTTATTTTATAAAGAAAATGGATAATTTACTTGACGTTAAAATCAGTTACAAATTTAATAGCTTACATAGAAAACATCTTGTTGTGTAGAACTTTAATATACATACTATACTCACGACGAATTAGAAATACATTAACATTGTAATAAAAATGGAATAGATATGTTCAGAAATATTGAAAATTCTTCCTACAGTACTTCAAAAATAAAGCATCTAATATATTCTAGCAAAAGTTAAAATTTTGAAAACATATGAAATAAATTTAGTTTACTTCAAAGTATATTTCTGTTTTTATGAAAGAGGGCGTTTCGTGTCGTGAACGAAAGACTAACAACAATTGTGAGAAAAATTCAGAACCTACTATAGTTGATTTATGTTTTTGATTCTTATCGGCGTAGCTTGATAGCAAGTGAAAATGTCGAGTGGATGCAGATAAACAAAAATCTATCTAAACTCTTGCTGTTTTTCTATTCTTTTGTGTTCATATGTTTGGTTCAAAATGTACAAATACTAATTTTTCTTAATTCTCATTTCAACGACGCTATCACCGTCTACAATCTAGAGTGTAATATATGATTGCCAAGAGAAAAACGCCAACGTTAGTGCATTCAATGTGAACAAAAAATTGTCATTAGAAAGTAGCATGTGTTGCTTAAGTAAGTTAGAAGAAAAAACACTTGAATAATTAACTGTAAGTTCTTTGCTTATACTTCAAGAAAACGATTTCTCAAATGATGACAATGTTTTTAGTTGATTGCTATTCGTGATTTTAGATGTCTGACATAGTTTTTGGTCGGAGCTTGCTAAGAGAAACTATGTTTCGATTGAATTTACTAACGATGTCTACAACTTTTTAGATTCAACCAAACTTCAATTAAAGAAAAACATAAATTGATATAAATATATAAGATCAGTTCTTTATTCTCATCTTTTTCTATTTG